GAAATTCCAAATTCTGCCGATTCTGATTCGAAAAATTTTGATTTTGGAACAAGTTTTTCCGTTCCAATTTTTGAAATTTTGATTTCCAATTTTTTTTCTTTATAAGGAATTGGAACTAGCTTTTTTGACTTTCGAAAACTCTAATTCTAATACAATCTGTCCGATTCCGCCCCTAGTTGGATACAATACTATGGCTGAGTACTTAAGTTTCCGCTTTATTTGCATCGCTATTTGTTTTTGTGTATGAGTAATTAATTACATACCTAATTAGTGTATATGGTTGTTGGTCTACTAATTCGCAGATAAGTTCAATGGAAAATGAAATTGAAAATGAAATGGTGTGGTATTCACCTCCAAGTGAGGTTAAAAACATAGTATTGGTTGGACGAACAGGTAGCGGAAAAAGCGCAACAGGGAATACTATACTTGGAAGAAGGGCATTTAAGTCAATGTTTAGCGCTACTAGTGTTACTGCAACTTGTGAGAAGCATACAACTGTACTTGAAAATGGGCTGAATCTTTCTGTGATTGATACTCCAGGTACGTACATATTATTACTAATTAGGTTAATATATTTACAAAATATATTAATTAATTCTGGTTGAATTAGCATGACATAAAAAAGAAAATAGGTTTTTTTTTTCGTCAATATCTTTGTCTTGAATCAAATACAATTGTCAGGATTGTTTGATTTTTCTGCTCATCCTGAATTTATTCGAAAAGAAATGCTTAAATGCATGGACATGACAAAGGATGGTATCCATGCTATTCTTTTCGTCATGAAAATTGGAACTCGATTTTCAAGAGATGAAGAAGATGGTGTTTTGATGATGCAGAAAATGTATGGCCCCAAAATTATGGACTATATGATTATAGTTTTCACTAATGGTGACGAATTTGAAGAGTATGACATGACCCTTAATGATTACTTGTGTGGTAATGATTCCCCTGACCTCTTGAAGGTATGAAAAAATCTTCGAATTTTGTTGTAGATTTGAACTCATGATCACACAAATAGTTTCTTCTGAACATGGAATTTTGAATTTATAAGCCATATAATGTTTGTCGTATCTTTGCAGAATTGTTCGTCAATATTCATAATTAGTTGTTTGTAATTTTGACATAGGAAACTCTGAGAATGTGTGGAAACAGATGTGTCCTATTTAATAACAAAACAAAAGATGAAGCCGAGAAATCTAAACAACTGAAGCAACTTCATGACCTATTAAATACGGTTGCACACAACAATGGTGGAAAACCGTATACACGTGATGTTGTCGATACGAATGGTGGAAAATCGTTGACAGAGAAGCTACCTGAGCAACCGGAGAAACCGGAGGTGAGTGTTTTTCATTGATCATCACAACATGTTCTTCATTAATGATACATGTTGATTAGAGTAATTCCACTATTATGGTGCATTCATTTCTAGTGATTTAATGTTATCAATAAGGGATTTTAATTTGATATATAGCTCGTAGAGAATTTAAAGATTTTAATGCTGAATTTTATAGTTCGCTAGTGAACTTTAAATAATCGAATTAGCCCTACTTCTCGTTCATATTTTTTTTTATTACATTCAAACTTAGAAAGAAAAATGAAAGAGTCAACAATACAAGAGTCACCAGGTGATTACAAAGATAATGCGAAATACAGGTAGACCTCTTTAAATTAATACAATCATAACTATTTTTTTTTATTGATTTAGCGAAATATTAAATTATCGAATTAATAATTTTAGTGCAGTTTTACTTAGTTGAGACCGACATAAATTATTATTTAAGTGATTTTATTAATTTATCGTGATTTTATTGAATCTAAAGTGTAAAACAGTAGCCCAACCAAACCCAAAGTGTATTATTCCGTACCTATTTATTTCTTAAACTTTTGGCAACCACTGAATTCCATTGATAAAGCGATATTCTAAAACCAATCAATTTTCGTAGGAAGAATTCCCCATGCATTGAAATTTGAAATGGTAAACAAAATAAAAATCCAATATGTTGGCTTATACTATGCTACACCGGGTGAAATACACCGGGTAGATCTTTACCATTCATATAAACACAAACACATACACCCACATTGGTGTGTGTAGATCAACGGTAAAAAATCACCCGGTGTAACCTTCACCGGGTGTAGGATAGAAATAACCCCAATGTGTTAATGAAGATCTGAACCCAACTCCCTTATGTTCCTTTTATTACATAAAATCCCTGTCTATTTTATTTTTGGAAAATTACAGTTTTCACCGCCTAAGTTTGTACTTATTCCTCATTTAGTCCCCATATTTATAAAAAAACACATTTGATCCTTCATGTTTCAATAATTTAACATTTTTGGTCATTTATATCAATTTATCGTCAGTTCGTCAGTTAAGGAATTAGTTAAGGAATGATGGACACATACTTGATTCCGTTAGTAGTAACGAAAAATTGACGGAAGTAACTAAAAATGTTGTTTTTTTTAAACATGTTGGACCAAATGTATTTTTGTGAACATGAGGGACCAAATATGAAATTAGTGAAAACTTGAGGGATGAAATTCGTATTTTGCCCATTTTATTTTCCTTGCATAAATTCCCATTTCGGTAAAAAATAAACACTGTTGGATTCTATGATTTTTTTTTGTAACAAATGGGAGTTTGGTGCATATTTTTTACAGAAAAAAGTTGAATTTATGCAAAATTAATTTATACATTTAAAATTTAAATTATTTTCTTAAATTAAGTCGAACACGTTATATTTATTCATATACAAAATGAAAAATATAAGAAAATATCAGTTTGGGTGAAAGATGGAATGAATTTTCAAATTTCGCCCGTGGTTTCAATTTAAAACAAAGTTTTTCTCATTTTAATTTTCAAAATTCAGATTCCGATCTATTCCAAAAAAAAAAGAAAAAGAAAATTACATCAAGATTAGAAGTAAACAAAAAAAAATCACAAAACCATCTTTTTATACGACTTTAATTTTAATATATTTAAAGATTTGATTT